ATCATCCATAACGTTATGGAACACATTAATTAACTGAAAAATGTTGCATAGTGTGCCTTTAACCATAAAGATGTTACATTTTAATACACTTACTGTTTTTGGATAGGGAAAAACGTCATTTCGGTCTTTTTAACAAAATAAAATCGAAGTTGACCCAGATGTATATCTGGAAGCGCATGCGCAAATGAACTGATGGCGCATTTGCCGAACGGATCTTGCTTCCTGCATGGATCAGGTAGTGACACTGGTACCTACAGCGGGGCTATTGATGAACAAAATACCAGGCTTTATTAACATATTAAATATTTGAGCACTAAATTTAAAAAAGTGTAATAGTCAAGAAACAGACAAAAAACAAGCTCAAACTTTTAATCAAATAAAGCTGTAATTTGGAATAATGTCCACGCATTGTTGGTTACTAGATCATTAGGATAGAGGACAAATAGTTCAGTCGTGGCAAATAACCTTAAGGGCTTTATCTTTAAAACTCACAGCAGGCCCAGGATAGAAAATGGAAAGAACTACTGGATTCTTTTTCTTCTTTATTCTTTTAAGCAGCTGTTAATGAACTATTGTCTGATGTATATGCAGTAATAACCTGTGTTTAGTTTTGTCCTGTAAATGAATTGATATTTGGATCTTAGTTTCTTACCTGCAAAGCAAATAATGATGACAATGAACACAAATACAGCTGAACCAATGGCCATTGATATACCAATATCTTCAGTAGAATCTGAAATAGAGAAAAGCTGGTAAGAGATGTGGCAGCAATAATTAAAATAAAGTTCAAAAAGATGCTCAATAGAGTGCAAATAGGCTGTGTCCTCAGTGTAGCAAAACCCACTCAGTCCCAATCTGTTTTAAATATTAAAAACCGATTCTATCTTTTTACAAAATAAAAGATTCCTTGAGAACAGAACTGGCTAGTTTGCAGTGTTGAGGCAATGACTGGCTGATCACTACCATCATACTTAAGTCTGTTTTAATTAGCCTCAGCTGATTATTAGTCTGAGCTCTGGGTAATATAGGGCATGTAGACTTCCAGCCAATTTGTCTTCTCCCCTTCTATCTCTGGGCTTTTTTGTCTGAATAATTTTTACCTAAAATTTATTAAAAAAAAAAAAAAAAAAAAAAAAGATATTATGAACAAGTTTAAATCTAATTTCAAGTCTAAGACAGACCTGCTAAAAATAATGACATATTATTAAACACCATGTATTTGCAAACTTACAGGTTAAGCCTACAGCATCAAATTGTTCTGTGAAGGCTTTTAAATAAGAATTTTTTTTCTAAAATACTTCTATTAAA